CCCCCAATACATTTTCAACCTAAAAGGCTGCACCTCCCCCTACACACAAACACCACACTTCACTAAGAATCACACAAAACCGTGTAGCATAAGGTCAGCACCTTTGAGGCGTGGCATACTCGTGACAGCAATAGTGTCTTTCATTCGCTGTGCGCAGCTAGCGGTAAAAGCACGAAGTATGCACGCTGACCTCGGTGTGCACAATGTCAACAGCAGATGAGAAAGAGAGCAAAGTGAGAAAAATAAGTCGTGTTTGTCGTCGAGAAACGACCATTTCTTTACACGTTAATATGGTCCAGCCATTATTGTGGTCCGAAAAAATTACAGTTCCTACCCCTTTCATAGAGCTGAGAGGACAGCAATCCTTCCAAGACCATCGTGCTGCGTGGAGCACGCCTTCCACCACCTGCCTGTAGGAATTTCAATGAATTTGATTTTAGAACTATTCTATTGAATACAAAAGGTTTCTTTTGATTGAAACTCCCAATGGTAAGGCAAACAGTCGAAGACACAGAAGGATTGATTGCGTCATCTATGCTTGAAGGTAAGCGGGGCTAATTGCAACATGAAAATAGAATATTACAGCATGAGAACAGGCCTGAGTGACTCACCAATAGCAATACTAAACAGTAATGACGAATACAGAGTGTATCGAATAGCAATCAGGAATATGACAGAAGACGATGAAGATGGCACCCTCGGTAGAAACAATTACATAACTTTGGAAATACTGGAAGTACTGACAAGCAATTATTTTGCTGTGTCATCAGCATCATGGCTATCTCTTTTCTGATGTTCGTCATCAGGATCTTCTTCATTGACCTCTTCAACAGTGCCATTCTTTTTTTCAACTTCCTTCAGTCGTCGTTTTTCTTCTTCGATTTCTGGAACATCTGTGACAATATTCACAAAAATTGAAACCGTTTCAATCAAGTATACCCTTGTAAATGCTCCCTTTGAAGAATGTTCTAATGAATGACTGATTAATATAAAGCGGTTCACATTAATACCAGAAAGCACCAAGCGGAGAATGAATGGCTGCTTTCATAGTCCGCCGGCCGGCGGAGGCAGTGCTAGGGGGAGGAGAGGGGCAGACAGATAGGCAAACAGTCCACGCCCCTTCGAGGGGCTGAAAACAAACAACCTTCGAAGGGGCATGGACCGTTTGCCTTACACTGTCTGCCTCCCTCCTCCTCCCTAGCACTGCCTCTGCCAGCATGCCTGCCGGCCGGCCGGCCAGCACGCCGGCACGCCGGCCGGGAAAGCAGCCAATGATTGAACGTCGAGAAACGGTTGGAGCAGCCAGGCGCAGGTCATCAAGGCTTCAAAATGAGGGCCTTTCACAGGCGCTCTGGCCTGATATCTCTGAAACCAGCACCTCGTTGTGAGATTTCTCTGGAGGGTCTTGATTATTGAGTCACCTCTGGCAAGTGGAGTATAGCTTCCTAACATGTAAGAGAACAGAAAAACTGCAAACATAAACGTGCTTGTATGCCAGCAGGAATCACGGGTGTATGTTAGGCTTTGAGCACGAGCACATCTGTTCCCATCCATTTCGCTCATGCTTTACCGTTATGTACTATTACTGTTATTTCTACTGTGATGAACCTGAAGAGGAAAATAGAAAAGGAGTCTCGGGAGTCCCAATCCGGGAGTTTATAACAAGACCGATGAGTTCACTCAAAGATAAATGGAATGGTTTCTAGTATGAAGGCCAAAGCATTAGTTATCAAGGTGTCCGATCTGCCTGAGTTAGTGCGATAAAATACCTCATCAGTGAATGCTTACATGGAATGGAATGCTTACAACTCACCTTGAAGCAAAGCGTGCTGTTGACGTAGACTTTGAATGGTTCTTTGGTATTCTGTAAGATTCTCCTCGGAGCGTTCGGTCAACACAGAAAGCTTCCCAGACATATTGTCCATGTCTTTTGGATCATCGCCTAAGGTTACAATAGGAATTACGATCTCTTGAATCATATGTTTTACAAGTTTACACTGATGCACCGCCGTCGCGCACTGCAGCATTTTCTCAATTGCGCACGTTTTGCAGCCAGTGCCTAGTACATCCAAGTTATGAGGTGCAACAGGATCTCACTTTAGTTCTTCAACCAGATTGTAACTGATAACATTGAGAGCGAAAAAGGGTAAACAACATATAATCTGGAAGCAATCTGGCTAGCGAAATCGAAACAACAATCGGTTGCTCGGTGAAAATGTAGTTGGGGGGGGGGCACCCATCCAAAGGCTGGTATATCAAGAAATGCTTTCAATGAAACGTGTTATGCCGTGTTATATCAGGGACATGCCAGTTTTCAACTAAGGGCTTTAGTAAGGAAGGTGCACCGCGGTGAGCGAGTTTTCTTTCTTTTTCCTTTTTTTTGCGCGAGGTGATCAACCCAGCCACCCAGGTGCTCCTACCCTACCTAGGCTTACTTAGAAAACTACACTACTTTGCTAGAGCCGCATAGGAGAGCACAGATGGTCGGTTCCCATCATCCCCCCCCCCCGCTTGTAATCTTGTAATACAGTGCTAGTATAGCAAGGACTAACACGTTAGACTGAGTTCATTTCTTGATATATAATACTAACCTTTGGATGGGTGCCTCCCCACCCTAACCACATTTTCACCGGTTGCTCCTCATCGGCAAGGTAAATGGAGCTTTAAGAATGTTGACCCCATTATCCAACATAGAAGAACAAATCAAGCTACCTTCGTTATCACCGTGACTCCTCTTCCATTTATGGACAAGTGGAATGGCGCATGAGATTATTCCTGACACAACAATCACAATACCGGCGAAGAAGAAAGTTGCCGAATAGGACTGCGTAACATCGTACACGAGACCTGAGGTAATTAAACCGAAGATAGTGTGGCAGGCTTTGTTCGATCGAACAATTTCAAATTGTAGCTACTAGAATGACAGAGGATAAAACACTCGTTGTTCATGAAGTCCTCTTTGGATACGTCACATATTGAACTCCCGTTCGGAACCGTAATGGGATTTGAATCCACGTTCAAAATCACCTTTTGCGGCAGCATAGTAAGAGTTTTAAATTTATATATATATATATATATATATATATATATATT